TGGGGTGTGGGTGGGGTGTGGGTGGGGTGTGGGTGGGGTGTGGGTGTCAGCTAGTCTTCTGTTTTTTCTCTCATTTACACCCACACCCACCCACACCCACCCCACACCCCACACCCCACACCCACACCCACACCCACACTCACACCCACACCCTTACTTTTAGAAGGGTCTCTCTAGTTCAAATCTTTGATATCTTCGACATAAGGGACTATGTACAAACGTGGGCGAGGCAGTCTTGTGTAGTGATCATTTTATTCCTGGTCAGCCAATCATGGCAACAAAACGATCGTTTGTGGGTGTTGGTGTGGGTGTGAGCGTGAGGGTGGGTATGGTTTAAATAGAAGCAATACCCACCCTCAGACCGACAATCCAACAGGAACTCACACCCAAAATGTGAGTGATGATTGAGCTATTGTTACCAATCAAATAGAGATTTTCCTCTTCCATATGTTTTACGTCTCATGGCTTCACCATTCCTTTATTTACTCTTTGAGAAATGCTATTAGTAGTGTACACATTAGGATAAGACATTATTAACACATGATATTAATCCTGTATTAACAACGTCTGTCACCGTCTGCAGGACGTGGTGAAGGATGGGTCTGAATTTCTACTCCCCTACTTCAACAATCACTTTAGATCGTGTTTCACAAAAAGAGGGTGTGGGTGGGTGAGGGTGAGGATGTGAGTTTTCAGTTCAACCACATCCACACCCTGAAGATGTGACGCTAGCAAAAAGTCATGATATTCTATCGGAAGAAAGAATGTAAGTTTATGTACATTATACAGACATGTTCAATTTTGGTACCTATTTGTAATTTCAACAAAATAAACTTATTGTTTTTCTTCTAAGATTCGAACTCGATTATGAATCCATTTGACATTCTGTAACGAGTTTTACAGAGTCATAATCATTATGAGGCCCGGTATTTTGCAAATATCTCGGCTCGGATAAGTCGTATAATTTTCATTCTTTTGTTTAAAGATTTATCGTGAAATTCTCTACAAGATTGGTAAAGAGCAATGCTGTTGATTTAGTTTTATGTTTTCTTATAAGGCTAAAAATGGAGCACTGTGTGATAGGTACATGTTCCATTATTCTAAGAGAAACAAAAATGAGAATAGCATTGATTATTTTGCATATAAAACGACAGCAACAAATTGTAAAACCTTAAATTGATTTTCTTTTACATA